CCAAAACTCCTTTTGAACAGAGAAGTATAGAAACCGGGATTAAAATTTAACCCTGGGCTAGCACTAATCGGCCTTTGAACAACTGGGCGCAGGCCTTTAGGACCTCGTTTTCCTGTTAAACTCGGCCCAGTACTTCTCTTATTGCATAGGGTGAATTGAATGGTTTAGCTGTATTATCGAAGGGAGAAATTAGATGTTGGTCATTCTCAGGGTTTAAAGAGTTTTAACCCACTCACTCCCAGGAGAAACAAAAATAATTTCTCTTTACTGTATAAATACATTTATCTTCATTTATAACTCGGCTGAGTTACTACGAGCCCCCTGAACTGGTGAAGAAACCTATCGTTTTATACTATACTGTGGAAGACTTAATAAGTATAGGTAATCGCATGGGGCCGAGTAAAATTAAGGATTAATATCACGCGTGTTTTCGGAAGTTGCTGAAATTTCCCGAGTCGCGCAGCGACGAGGGCAATTTCTGCAACTTCCGAAAACACAAGTGATATTAATCCTTAATTTTACGAGGAACCATGTGATTACTTGTTTATAATATAAGGGGCAAAATGTTTTCTTACTGATCTCGCGCAGAACGGGACGCCATTGTTACAAAACAAACAGACATTTCTTCACCTTGGCAGCCGTTGCTAAGCGATTTTCAGCCAATCATTTTCAAGTAATTTTGCCCGGGGCAATTACAAAAATTAACAGAAAATGCCCTCTGTCTTGACCAAATCACAATTCAGTAATTTTGCCCCTTGTATGATAAAGGCGGGAATGTATTTTCGCTTGGTTACAAAAACTGTCACGTTGGCTTGAATTAATTTTCGTGCAACTCACTTCCTGTTGTTTTGCAAGATATAAAATTGCAGTGATGGCCATTATCTTTGTCAGTCATCATTAGCCAGTATAATTTGGTCACTAAGAAGACGATTATAAGAAGATTATAAGGAGAGATAAGGCAGTCACGCTGGAATGAATTTTCGCTCATTTTTTCCTCCAGCGAAATAAGCTAAAATAAATCCTACGCTTTTAAAAAGTATTCCACAGTATTGGTAAACGCATAGAAAACCTTTCTTGTGTTCTCTCAACATCTCGCTTGGGTCATTACGCTAGTAAACCTATAAAAAGTGCTGTCTGTTGCGTTAACGTGGCAAGGGTCCTGCACACGGTTGGGGTCAACGATACCGAGTGAATATAAACAGTATGAAATAGGGCAAACCTTGAACTCGGCTGCAAAATAAAAAATAAATAAATATAACAAAGGGGAGAGAGTGTAGAATTTACTTTTCACCTTGACAGGAGTCTCCAAGTGTCATAAATCCTGCCTTACAAACACAGTGGTAGGTGTTATTTACTCCCTTCTTCAAGCACTGTTTGTGTTCGCCACATTCCTTCTTTGCTCCACCAGGGGTACAGTTACTGTTTACTGTAAGAAATCAGTCAGGTCTTAAACGATGTTGGTCATGTTGCATGTAAAGTCACTTACGATCTTATTTTACAAGGGGATACGCGGAGGGGACATACATGAGTTAAGAACAACCCTTAATGTGATTACCTCATGGGATGCTTATAGCGGGAAATGCAGAACTCTAGTACCCACGCCCCACTCGTGTGATTGGCATAGCTTTAGGCAACTTGGGTACGGCATATTGGCCTTTCCATTCCCCATGGAGGACTAGGAAACAGATTCAATAATTTTTCAAGCTCCCCTAACATCTCTCACCTCCTCTGATCTAACGACAGTTTGTACAGAGTCCTACTATATAAGCAGAGTTATCAACAAAAATGGTTTGATTAGATGCTTTAGGATAAAGCAACATCCTTACACCTTTGTTTGCTTGCATTTGATTTAACTCACTTGCTCTGTGATTGGCCCAAGAAACTACCATCCCTCTCGACCTCTCAGAAACGAAACTAAAAGCGACTGTAAGTTTTCCCCCACGTTTTCCTGCATTCAGATAAATTCATTCCGAGCTGCTATTCAGATCCTTCCATTTGTTCTCACAGAAAGTTTTATGTGTCAACTCCACCTTCATTTACCCGACATGCAATCGAAAAGGGCTTCAAGTGGAATCAGAAAAAGGTTCGGATTGATGGTAAAGTCCTTCTCTTAGGGTTACGATTCAGTCTCTGTTTACTAACCGAAGTTGAAGCTTCAGAAAGGGAAAAAAGCGAAAACAGAATGTTCGCAGCTTATTTTATCGGAGTACCTCAGTAGAAGTAGAAGTGACTCACCTTCGATAACGGATGCAAAGAAAACAAAACCAATCAAGATAAGTATCAAGAAGGAAGAGTTTTTCATCGCTGAATTTTCAAACCTGCAGTATCTTGTCAAAGAAGTACACATCAGTGGCTAGTACAAGTGGATCTAGACTGCAAACAATATGAAGGTTTCAATGCTCTGGTGCTGTGCAAACTGTACAGCAATCATCAAAGTACAATTTTTGATCAATAGTCCTCAGAATATCTCGCAAGTCACTGCTATTGCTGAAACTGCTCTTCCCTGAACTGATTAAAGTTGATCTTTCAGCTTTTTCAAAGTTTGAAAACTGCTTCGTTTTCAAACGCACGTGATAAACCGTTTGCATTCGCTTATGGCGCGTGCATATAGTAGGAAGAGGATTCATGCGCGCGACCTCGAAAAATCGTGAACTTGAATCAACTACCAAACTATCGTACCTTTTTTCTTTTTGTCCGAGTGAAGTATCAACTCAACAATTTTCTTTGTCTGAACTGCAAACCGAACAAGGCACGCACGAGCACGTCACAATATAGATATCTTTTATCATTTATAATTAGAATGCAATTACTAAGTAACTGCCGTACTCTCTTTCCGCACATGTTTGTTCATAGTTAATAGAGCTCTATTAACTATGGTTTGTTGGAAGACGATAGTTAGAGCAACAGATCGAAGTTTGAAGTCATTGAGGGGTATTTTGCAAGGTAATTGAAAACAACGGGCACACATGGAGAGGAAACCCAGTTAAAGCTCTAACATCCACTCAGCCAATGAAAAATGGGTATTTAGTGCTAGTGTCGCACGCTGTTTCGGAGCCACGCGCGTTTTTCAGTCATAACCCCGCAAAGCATGAACTAAATTAGTTCAACAAGTGGTTACTTTGTTTTTCGTGCTGTGCAAACAATCCAAATATTTTGAGGGTTTCTTCCATTCTAATCAAATATGAAAAACTTCCCTTGCTTTTTTTGCTGGAGAGAACTAAACCCTTATGTAGTCCCGCTTCGTTATGCAAACTTCCTGTCACCTAAAATGCCTTAAAATGGATCAAAAGTTAACACTGGTGGGTAAGATTATTTTGTTAATATTTAATTAACTTCAAGTTTAACTGTACAGTGAAATTAGTTCTAAACAATATGCTACCTACATCAGCTAACTTGCGAGCTAAATAATATCGTTTTGGGCTGAATGCATACTATTACTATTACTATTACGAGAAGTTGCTTGCAAGTATTTTAAGCGAAACAGGAACCTTTCAAGAACTTCCAATCAAACCCGTGAATACCGTATTTTACATTCCTTCGGCGGTAGCAAATCAAGAAATGCCCTTGGGGTATAGAGTTTCCCTGGGGTCCACTAATCCCTTTTAGGATCATTGCATACAGTAAGAAACTACATTTTCTGTAAAATCTGTGCAAAGCAGGACTGTCAAGCATTTCAAGAACTTGTGGCAATACTTTTTTCCATGATCAACATGTAATTACAGATGTATTTGTATGCGTAATTGCATATGTATCATTATTTATTACACGACTCCGGCAGTCAGAGGGCCAATAACTACAATCAACCAATCAAAATGCTCTATTGCCGGTCCAATATTCTCTAATATAATAATTTGGATATATCAACAAAGTTGAAATTGTAAATTGGCCACCGTAACGATTACAAAAGCTAACAGTTTCATTAGAAACTATCAGCCAAGCTTGCTCGGGACCGTACTGGAAGAATATCGGCCCTCGGTCCGTACTGTCAAGACCTCGGGCCGACATTCTCCCAGTACGGCCCTCGCGCTTGGTTAATAAGATATAGTATTCAACGTGTTTGAAAATTTCACTCCTACCTACCAGCCTTAAAAATTCTTAATTTGTCTCCCATATTATTGTGATTCGCAATTATTACCATGAGTAAATTTTTCTTAAACACATAAAGATGATTTCTAGTTTACTCACATTTAAACAAAAACTACATTCTAACGAGTTTCCAACAAAAGCTAAAAGGTAACAAAAGTAACAAAAGTTATTTTTTCTGTCTGAGATTACATTTACAGTGGATGTAATTACATTTTGCCAATAAATGTTATTGTACAAAAAAATCACAGTGGAAAAGTTAATAAGTATTTACAAAGAATGCTGGCCCAAAAGCTACTGAACCGGCTGTTGCAGTGCTATACACAATAGTAGAGAGCCCTGTTGTTCAAAAGGCAAATAATGCTATCCAACAGGTAAATCACTATCTGGGTGATAAGTGTTACCGTTTCCAAAACAGACTGCCCCATCCACCAGATAGAAATTTAATCAGAAGATGGCTTCATCCACCTTCGAACTACCAGAGCCATTTGTTTTGCTGCTGTCAATCTAAGCAGTGGTCTCAAAAGCGTTTGTTTCTCGAGATTTGTCTGTGAGCTCCTCCTCTTGTGCGAACACTAATGAACTGATGCCATTCACTTGATCAGAACTGTCTACTGTGTCACAGAAAACAAGTGAGGTGTTCAGCAACCATATCACAAGCAACAAGTAACCAAAGCCCTAGGAAAATAGAAAACTTTGTCAATGGTAAAAGGGGTCAGTTAACCCTTCAACTCCCAAGATCTGATTATGAATTCTCCCCTCTAGCTCCCACACATTTCCTTGTAAACTGATTGTGAGAATTTGGTGTTCAATCAGGGTAACAATTTCTACCTGATGAGTTTGAGTATTCTCACCACCTGTTTACTGGATCATGTATGAATATTATAGGGAGAAGTTACAATTTTTTTTTTTTACATTTTTTTATTTATTCACCACCTTATTGTGATACAAAATGAGCTTACAGAGATTTGTTACAATATGGCAGGAAAGCCCAAAGAAACCATAGGGCTTATTGAACGTGGGCTTTCCATGATAAATAACGATGAGTAAACTAGATATTAGATTAACTAAACAGCAGTGGCAGAGTATAGATAAAACGAAAAAGGAAAGAAGGAATTTCTTTAGATTTTTCTTAAAAGTAGATACACTGACTGAACTTACAACGTCTGGACTAAGCGAATTGAAAAACAAAGGGCCTTGGTATTGAGACGAGAAACGTCTTATATTAGTTCTCCACTTAGGAACATAAAAGGAACTGGCATTCCTAGTATTATAATCATGAACCTGATTCCTTCGTAGAAACGTGTTATTAAATACACCTGGTAACAACCCAATTCCATATAGAAACATAATTTTTCCTATTTCTGCTAGATACATATCATTTAGCAGTAGATACAAAAAGTCTTAAATATTGCTTCTGTATGAGCGCCATAAGAAGATTTGCTGATGATTCTCATCGCTCGTTTTTGCAGCAATACAAGACGTTTCAAATTAGTAGGATAGGTTGACCCCCAAACACTTATCCAATATTACAAATACGGATGGACAAGGGAGAAATAATCAGTTGTGCGAGTTAAAGGGCTAAGTCTTTGAACTCTAAGCACATAGAGTTCAATTTTAATGCGCTATATAAGAACTTATTATTAAATTAAAGTCTTCACTCAAACCAAGTGGCCCATCCAGTCGCAGGTTTCTAAGAAGCATGAAGCAACTAGGAGTATTAATATTTCCCATGCCCTTCCATCCCAAGACTTCGCACAACCAGTCAACTTTTCCAGCATGAAGAGAGAGCTCACTGCTGTAGGTTTGTCCTGTGTGTTCATTTTCCCCAGCTCTAGATTTGTACGTCAGGATCCCTAAGTTCATAAATTTCTAATTTTTCATCTCTTACTTGCTGGAAAATCTACCAATATCATTAAATGTCAAATGAATTTTAATGGCTGGAGGGGAGACATCAAGCTCTGCTGCAATCACAACATTAATCAAGAGATATTTAAGACTATAGACTTTGAGAATGAACTCACCACTGAAGCAAAGAGCACTGAGTAATCAGGTAAGAATTCTACACAGTTACTGCAGCGGTCTGGCCCCAATGTTGTGATGACATTTTCAACTTCATTTTCGACTTCCTTTTTCAATTCCAGAATGTTGTACAACCAGAGGCTTGTAACTACAGCTACAAGCACTGCTATCACAATGGAAATAAATATCTCCTGAAAGATACCAGTGTTAAATTTAAAAAAAGTAACTGTATTGTTAAGGATGTGTGCATGTAAAGAAAACCATCAAATAGGAGTCATCCTTATAAACCTTAACCTTTTAACTCCAAGAAGTGATTAACATACACCTTCTCTTTGTAATATCCATACATGTGGTAAAGCATAATGCAAATGGCCTTATTATGGGATTCAAATATTGAAGAGCCAATCGTGACAAATTACACATACCAACTCCCAGGAGAGTTCCTACAGATTCCCTGGAGAATCATTAATTTAGTCAGACATGCTTTGATATCTGAATCCTGTAGTAAGGCTATTTGCATTATGCATCACTACAATGCAATTTACACAGAATGGGTGGTAAGATGGAGCACCTCTTGGATTGATGCAGTGGAATTCAGAAACTTTCGAATGAGTAGGTATTTGCAAGGCCCTCTTGCAGGTAGATAGGGGTTTCATTAAGAGCCTGGGCATCGGGCAAATTGATAGGTTGTGAGGATGGTTTTGCCCACCTGGTTTGACCATGTGGAGGAAAGTTCATCTTATAAAGAAGTTCAGTTCAAAAAGTTTTGCCTGCCTGTGAAAACCAGTTGCTCTCTTGCTGAAAACATTAATGAAACCCTTGGGTAGAAATTTGAGGGAGATTAGTCAACTCTTGTGGAATTTATTGGCCTTTGAGTGATGACAGTTGGTGTTCAGGACCAGGTGAAGTGACCAACCTTGCAAATTTTTATACACACACAGTTATATAATAGAACAACATGCATTACAAAGAAAGTTGCCAAAACAGGGTTAAAACAACCATACACGACAAAGCTACAGAAAAAAGGTAAGGAGACTATATTATAATCCTTGGCTCATGCTTATGCTTAAAATTAAATCTTAATATGTGAGGCATTCCTGTTAATGACTTTAAGACCAAAATATAACACACAGTTTGCTTGGGCTGCTTGTGCAACAACAAACTTGATCCCCATGTGACACTGAGTCCTGGAGTTGAATTTGGGCCAGTGGTGGGAGGCAAGCACTCTCACCAATGCAAAATTCCTGCTCAGTCCCCAAATTATAAATAAACTGTAAATACAACAAATTTTTCACTTACTGCTATTGAAACTTTACTTGCCACTCTCTCCTTTCTGTGAACTGCACATGATATTAGCAGCGTTGCTATTGCTAACAGTCCAGCTACAATGAGTACAGCAACAAACAACTGTGCACAAACTTTGATGGCTGGATCAAAGTTGAAGCTTGTAAGTGGTCCATCTTCATCAGTGTAAACCGCAGTTTCATTGTTGTAATCAAAAGGGTATTTCACAGTGATATTGAAACTTTTGTCACTGTCTCTCTGGTATACCCCTCCCTTATCATTGTAAGCGATTACCAGGGGAGCAACAATGAAGCTCAGAACCTACAAGAAAAAATTCCAAATTTATCTTAGCACTGTAAATCTCTAATGCAAAATTCTCTCCTTTGACAGTCATACATTAATCCTTTTAGCCCTTTAAATCCTGAGATTGACAAGCATCAAATTTCTCCTTACAATATATATGGCTATATATGCCTATAGGCTGAACATGGGTATGTCCACAGTTTAACTATGGGGCTGCACCTATGATGACGACACTGCTTGGCGCATGGGCAGCATCCCTTGGTGAGGTACTTTGTTGATCGATGACACAGCAAAGCTGAGATGGTTGCAGAGAAGCTCATTGCATAACACCCACCCCTCCCACCCCAGGGGAGGACATCCACCACACAGTAATCTCGTGCGTGGGAAATTAACCTCTCCTACCCCTAACCCTGCAGGAGAAGGGGCCTACTGTTTATTCGTCCTTATCCGAGAAGACTCGAATATCTATCCATTTCTTGATATTATAGAAAGGTAGCAAATTCTCCTCAGTTATTATAAGACCATGAGAATTGCTCCGGCCAGGGCTCGACCCTCAACCTCCTGCACAACACAATCCGGCCCTTAACCAATTGAGCTAACCAGGAGGCGGACAATACAATATCACCTCTGAATCATACATTAAGGTCATGAGAATAAAGAAAATGATCACCAACTACTAAGAAACTCTTGACTGTAAAACAAATTCTCCTTGTCAGAAGAGAAGTGGAGAAGATGCATACTGATGTTAGGGTGTAAATGTTTAATGACATTGCCCTGGAAAGTATTTAACTCTTGTATGAGGTCCAATTGTTCCGTTGATCCCCCAGTCCCTTCCAAGATTTCTCCCTTTCCTTTTCTCAATCAATAGATCTCTTTCATGTTCACTATTGTCATTCCTTTCACTTTTTAACTCTAAAGATCTGATTGTTAATTCTCTCTAGCTGTCCCATATTTCTTTGTAAATTAGTAATAAGAATTTTGTGTCAGATCAAAACAAAAATTTCTTCCTGATAAGTTTGAGTATTCTCATTATATGTTTGCAGGGTAATATGTGGATATTATGGGGAGAAGTTACATGTTGATCACTTCTGGGAGTTGAGGGGTTAAGTTCTTGCAAACAAGCCCTTCTTAGCCTTGCTTTGCCATCACTGTTTTTCCCATTATCAGACAAAGTCAAGGCTGTGCACTATGATTTTGACCATTGTCCATACGGAGGTGGTTTGTACACAGAAAATCCATCTATTCAGCATTTTTTTTAACCCACAGCATATGATCCAAGATCACTGCACCCTCAAAAGTGTCTCAGTTCCAAAAATCTCTGCACTGTACGCTAAAAATAAGTGTTTTCCACCATCATTTCAGGGTTGCCACTCGTTAGAACCCAAAAAAATTCCCTAACTTTTCCCTGGCAGGTACAAAAAGCAGGTCACAGGTCACAGGTCACAGGTCACAATTAACAGGGCACAATTGTATATTATATGTTCATATATGTTATATGTTCATGTATATTATATGTTCATTTCTGACGACTGGAAATGGAACACTATAATGCAACGCCCTTACTCTATCTGGTGTATAACTCTTTAATTGTGTCCTGTTAATTGTGACCTGTGACCTGTGACCTGCTTTTTGTACCTGCCGAACTTTTCCCTGACTTTTCACTGACCTCAAAACATTTTTCACTGACCTTGAATTAAATTAATTACCAAATTATCGAAAGCGCAGTGCACAAAATATTATTAGCACAGAGTTAAGCAGGGTTTGATGGTTTGTTTTATTTCCTTGGGGTGCACAACTCAAATATAAAATGGCTAAGGCTAAAGACATGCAGGGAACGATTTACGAGCAAGGCTGTGGTAGAATGGCACCCAGGTCAGAGGCTAACATTTGGCTTTGGGTGACTGAAAGAATATTGCCGGTCGCCGGGCCAGACACTCTTGTATTGAAGTTCAGTTCTTTAGTAAAGAAATCATAAATACGTGCCACGCTGGTTTCAGTTCATTGCTTAAAACGCATATTGAAGATAGCACTGACACAAAATAAGGTTGCTTGTTTATGCTCGCACGCTTGAATCTGAAATTTCATTCCGTATGATTTAACAAATATGTAACACAATAATCTCTGAGAAAAGGCATGAAAATTCTAAAAATAAGTCACATTTTCCTGAAATAATGCCTCATTTTTTTATTTTGGAAGTTTTCATCATTTATTTTAGCGTTTCTAATGTTTTCAAAAGCGCAGTGCATGAAATGTTATTAACACAGAGTTAAGCGGCTTTGATGGTTTGCTTTATTTCCTTGGGGTGCACAACTCGAAAACAAAATGGCTAAGGCTAAAGACATGCAAGGAATGATTTATGAAATTTCTCGGAATAGCATAGTTCTACTGTTCTATGATACATTTCTCCATTGCTTTTAAGCTTTCTATCTGATTTGCAACACTCGATCGACTACTTCACAAACCTTTGTGGAACCCTCAAAACAGAATACCCTGACTTTTCACTGACTTTGGCGAGAACTAAGATTTTCCCTGACTTTTTGCAAAATTCCCTGACTTTTCCCTCACCTTGAAAAATTTTAGTTTTTCCCTGACTTTTTTCCCTGACCGTGGCAACCCTGCATGTCTAAGCTTGAGTCCTTCTGCCTGTGCCTTTGACGCACAGACTGGATGCGGCTGCACAAGAGGCTTGGGTCTAAGGTCAATTTTCTCTCTAGCAGGAGTGGTATGATCAGTTTATGTACAATACTTACCCCATCCCACAGTGAAAGTGAATAGAGAAATTTAGTTTACATGAAACGTGATCACTCATTACAGTCAATTTCAGAAGGTGAAATATCTCATCACCTTGCCATGAATTTCAAAAGCAATCTATGTGTAAGAAAAAATAACATTTGTATAGGATTCCATGCCTAAATATCTAAATAAAAATCTAAGATTTTCAGTTAAGAAAATTTGTATAGGATTCCATGCCTAAATACCTAAATATTTATCTAAGATTTTTAGTTAAAAAAATTTGTTCTGTATAAATTCAAACTTTTCATCATGATCTGAAAAGCAATAATTCATCCACACAGTTCCACGAATGAAATCTGAGGTTTTTTGCCTTTGTTTACCCTTTCGGGATTCACTGTATTGCTTACCCTGGGAGCCAGAGGATTTTTTTTCTTTTTTTCTAGCAGCAAAACTGCTAAAACTGAGCAGTTTTGCTGCTAAAAAAAAAAAAAACCCTCTGATACCCAGGGTATGCATCTCTTTCCCTTCAATAGAATTTTAGCAAAATTGCAGACTCTACCAAATGTATTCAAATTTAGTCCAATGCTTACCAACTTTAACTGTGTCAGTGTCACCTCGCTGACTGATTTGTTGATTGGGAGAATAGAAAAAAAGCGGGGTGTCATTCTGGGAATGGGGTAAGTATTGTACATAATTAAAATCAACTATACCACTCTTGGTAGAGAGAAAATTGTCTTTGGACCCAAGCCTCTTGCACGGCCACGTCCAGTCTGTGTATCAAAGGCACCGGCAGAAAGAAACAAACTTAGAAATGATGGTAGAAAATGCTTGTTTTTAGCACACAGCATGGAGATTTTTGGAATTAAGACACTTTCCAGGGTGCAATGATCTTGGATCGTAAGCTGTGGGTAAAAAAAAATGCAGGATAGATGGGTTTTGTGGGCACAAACTGCCTCCGTGTGGACAATAGTCAAAATTGTAGTGCAAACCCTTGACTTTGTCTGATAACAGGAAAAAGGGTGACGACAAAGCAAGCCCAAAGCGGTGGAAAATGCCAAAAAACACAACGGACACACAAGAAGTGAGTCAATTTTATCAATCTTCAATATAAAATATCCATATTTTGGAATATCAGGAGTTGTAAATGGACCATATTCTGTCGCCCATACTATTCTTTATGATGTCGTCAAATTCTCAATGGTTTGATGATAACTTAAACACTGTGTCACATGATGCTTTCAAGAAATAATCTTTTGTTTTACCCGGAGACATAAGCTTAGGATACCTGTGGTCTGGGGAGTAGCGGAAAAAGTGCTAAATTTATTAGGTTACATAACTCTGGAATCCTTTGGCCAACTATGCTGGCAGGTCTTGTGTGTAGATCAGACGGAATTCTACAGCTTTGGCATGGCAAAATTTGCCCTTTGATTTTGTCTAGACAATTTTAGTTTTCTTCCCTTGAGTGGAAAGGCCAAAAAATCTGATGAATGATTACTGTTTCCGGAGCTGGAAGTGTTAATTTCCTTGCAGCTTTATATACACATTTGCTTCTCTAAAAGTTCTGTCCCAGTATTTTGCTAGACCAAATAATGAACAACCTTGTCAACCATGTAATGCGTTACAGGGCAGATGTATAGACTGGCTAATCTGATTTGTTATAACTGTGACCTGTTTGATCTAAATTTATTTTCAGACAATACTCGTGTTTCAGTTTTTCCTAGTTGACACGTCGAAACATGTCTCGAAAACACGGAAGAATTAATGATTATTCAGTCGTTGACCATTAAATAGCGTGATGAACGTAGATTAGTGCGTTATCAAAGTAATATGCTCATCTCGACCAGTGCGAGTCATTTGCAAAAATGAAGGCGAACTTTGTCAGTATAAAATTTCCAGAGTGATTATCCGGGCGATTTTGACTCGAACACGTGCAAAAACATAACAATAAACTAACAAACCTCGAAACATTTCGATCTCGAAAGGACATGATTTCACATTTGTCCTGACCGACACCGAAAGACATAATTTTCTCAACAGTAGCTACAAACTGTTTGGTATTTGACAAAAAAACAGGGTAAACGACGAGGTTAAAAGGAGGCTTTATTTGGAGAAACCGTGAAATTCAAAACTTGTTTTCAAAAGCCAACCGCTTACGGTTTCATAGCCCAAAACTATGCTCGTTCGTCAGTTTATCCTTACGCTGGCCACACACTCATTAAATGTTGAATATAATGATAAAAAAAAAACTTCAGCGCGTTTGGCGTATGTTGAGTACCAGCTAATAATATACACTTCTATGTAGCATGTAATTGGCTATTATATAATGCTGATTACTGATAATTAGCTCGCACTGAGGCATTATGCATCAACCTTCTTATTATTGCGAATCGTAACATTACTTACGATCTCAATGACCTTCATCCAGAAAACAGGATGTCTTAAAATCTTCCATCGTGATTCACCTCGGTAAAGTAGTGCCATTGCTCGGAGAGAGACGAGTTCAGGCAACGTGCTAGGACTGGCGAGTCTTCTGTCGCCCCGTCACCTACGCATTTGTCATTAAACGGGAGAAAGACTGGAACTAGTAAGAGGGGAGGGGCCAAGTGGGGATTGTCTCTCAAAGATAAAGACCGTAATGTTATTTTTGTGTCAAAAGGCGGATGAATTGACATTAAAAGGGAACTCGTGCACGGACGATCGGGCACTTTGTTTGACGTCATTAAAAGAATCTATGAGCCTGAAATAATGCCTCATTTTTTTATTTTGGANAAGATGTGCAAATTTGTCGGCTTTGACGGTTTTGCATGCGGTCTTCGGTTTTGATCGAATTTTGTTTTGCGGTTTTGCGGTTTTGCTGTTTTGCGGTTTTGCGGTTTTGCGGTTTGAGTGAAATCGACATCCCAGACTTTAGAATAGACAACGAGGGAGAAGAAAACTTTAGGGAACGGTTCTCTAGAGTTTTCTTCTCCCTCATCGAGTCTCTCGTCGTGTCAAACGGAACATCATTGTTATAAAAGTAGCCGATTTCAGTGAAAGTCCAAACGAAACTGTTGACTTTCCAATTACAAATTTCAACGTAAAAAGCTAGCTGGTTTACTTGAGTAAAAGTTAGATGCACTGGTTTTGGCAGGAATTAGCACTAATTAATTTTTTTTCTGTTGTTTTTGAAGGGTCCTAAGCAAGAACAAACTCTCCCTCAGTGACAACTGTTTCAAATGGTTAACAGATTTGAAGACTTTGTGAGTAATATCATTTATTAGTCTGTTAGTTTTTTATTTCTGTTTCTTCCTTCTTCCCATCATTCTCCACTACTTCGGCTGTGGTATGTAAACGGTGCAAGTAAAGTAAAGTCTGTTTACGATTCTAATGGCCCATTAGGCCGGTGCTTAACTCCGGTTTCTGTAGCATGAAGCGACTAGGAGTATGTCTACTCCCTCTGTATGGGATGCTAGTCCATCGCAGGGTTACCCCCAGCATTAAATTGCCGGTACCCATTTATACACTTGGGTGGAGAGAGGCACTGTGAGAGTAAAGTGTCTTGCCTAAGAACACAACACAATGTCCCGGCCGGGACTCGAACCCGGACCACTCGATCCGAAGTCGAGCGCACTAACCATGAGGCCACCGTGCCTCCACAAGTAAACGGTGTAGCAAGCAACAACGAGCAGTTGTTTCCTTCTTTGGCAAATAACACCTGCAATAAATGATAGACATCATTTTACTCTTCAGACTGGGTAACTAACAAAATTTGTCTCATCTAGAGCCTTGTTCAATTGTTAAAATCCAATTAAGTTTCAAGGTCAAGGTTAGTGCTCAAGCAAAAGAACATCTGCACGTGAGGCGTACATATTTCGCTGAGCGCGTTCCTTCTAATGTTAGTCCTAGTAAATCTTGTGGCTAATTGCTGTGTTTTTTTTTTCCACGTGCTGTGCATGGTGAGCACTTCTTCGTGGGTTACGTAACAGTGGTTCAATTCAATTGTCTGTACATTGCGCATGTATGCACGATTCAGTTCCTTCGAACTAAGGTAGTCCTGAAACGAACATTGAACTGATGTTTCGACAACCTGACTGAAATTCGTCATTAGAGTATATTATCTCTGATAATGACTTCCGTTCAGATTTTTCAAAGGGCGGATAATGCTCCCCGACGGATAAATTGCTATTCAGCGGATGAGTGTTAACAAAACATGCTGCGCTGTCCACTGGATAGAGATTGTTCCAGAAAATAGCGTGATGCAATCTTCGAACAACCAGGACCAGTATATCATACCGCATAGCCCATTGCACACATGATTGCACTATTTAAAAAACGCAAAGATGCTCAGTGAAAAACATTAGCTTTTGCTTCACTCTCTTTATTTCTGTTAACTAGCGCTGATCGCGCGACGGTTTATCGCTACTGAAATCGAGAAAGAAAGATGAATTGTTGTCTAACTAATAACAAGCTTTAATTCGTGCTGTCTCTCCAATATTTCTTCTAACTTCAGATGAAAGCTTTTGGCGCCAGATCAAACTAGACTTTGTATTTAATAATAAAAGTCTTTATTAAGCACTCTAAACAACAAACGTGTTTACAAAGATATGAACTCAGCAAGTATAAAACTAATTAACTAACTAAATTACTAACTGACTAACTAATAAGAGAACAAACATCTCGGCAACAAAAGTCCTTTTGAAACGTAAAGTTCTGACATGCGGGAAAATATAATTATGGCGCCTCTTACGTAACGTAACCATTGGTCGCTCTGGTGGTAAAAAGTCATCCAAAGCTGTTGTAAAATCGCTGTCGGTGATCTTGGCCCACAACTTCTTATCTTTTAGAGTA